GAGTTGGAAGGATCTAAGACATCATCATCAATTCCTTCCAATAGAGAAAATGAGACTAAAAGAAGAAATTACTTAGCTAAGGTCTCACTGCAAGATAAATGGAAGGTAAAAAATGAGGACAGTGGCTTCCACATTCATTTTCTGTGGCTCTTTCCACTATCCCCACACTATTTTTCTGTGGGTAAGTTATGTACTATTTTGTTATATTTTGTTTACTCACAAAAGAGTTGGGTTTTTTCCTAGGCAGTCTATAGGTGTTATCCAGGCTTCATTAAAACATTAGAAATGACTTCCCCAACTCACAGATTGGTTTCACCTGTCACTTCATTTCCCAACAGGAATACCAGCTCTCAAAGTACAGGTTCCCATCAAGTTAGCATCAACATCAAAAGCTCATCTAACACCATACCATGTCATTATAAGTCAGTATCCATTATGGCCTATGAAACTCAGCCATCACTTCATTGATATTGCATTTAAAATACTAACATTTTCTTCACTAATCCTAGTTAAGCAGTTTTATTCTATAGTACCAAGAATGAGGAAGAGATGGGAACAGTAATTTTTAATAAGCCAGATCAACCTGGAATTAGGAAACCTGAGAACCACTAAGGCAATTGAAAATGACACATGTATCTGAAAGAGCATTTTAAGTCCACAGAAATCATGAGTTCCACCAATGATTGTAAAATCAAATATCTAATAACAAAATTATTAAAACAGAAAAATATTATTGAATTCTTGTCATGTTAGGCACTGTTCTAAAAGCGTTACATACAAAAGCCCCCAAAAGGCAGGTAAGACATAGATGAGGAAAGTGAACAGCACCGGAATTTCTATACATATGCAAGGGATTGCAAAATATAAGTAGGGCACACCAATGAAGACTTAAAGTTTCCAGTCTTCCTATTAAGCTTTAAGTAAACTGTTAAACTATACGTGTATCTGAGTTAGCAAGACCCTTGATATGCAAACAAAGCACAGGCATGTTATTTAGGTAGAATATTTATGAAGTAGGTGGGAGAGACTGTGACCATCCTTCCCCCAAACCTATGGACTCCTAGCACTACACAAAAACTGAGGGCCCCAAAGATAAAATCCCTCACCCACAGTGATGAAGCAAGTACAAGACAGGCAGAGCTGGCCCTTCAGCCCAGGTCAGTGTGGTTCCTAAGTCCTTTCTCTTTCTACTGTCTCCAAACCTCCTTTTGTATAAATGCCCCCAGATAGTCTAAGTACCATATAAAAATTATTAACTAATAATTTTGTAGGTCATCTGCTATGAAAAATGAATGTATTTCTGAGAACCTTAAGCTAAAATACAGAAAGCTAATTTTCTAATGCCTTAGAACAGCATGCATACTACAATTTCAAGACCTCCTAAGGCAGAATTCGAGTACATTTCAAAACACACACAAAAGACAGGAGTCTTTTGGGGTGGGGAGAAGGGAATGAAGGAGATGAGAAAAAAGTCTCCCTTATGATATTAAAGCTGGTTTAAGGCCAAGCTAGTTAATAAAACTGAAATAATTTTTAGGATTATGCAAAATACTGGGTTTAAAAACTGAATATAATCCAGTGATATCTAATATCTTACTCATAATTTGAGAGCCTGAAATGCTTACTTTTTAAGAGGGAATTTATTCAACAAATTTCAATTAGGCCTGGGCTAGTAGGCATTATGGAAGCCACAAAGGTATGCAAGACACAGCTCTTCCCAAGGAGTACTTGTAGTCTAATTAGAAAAACTAGATAAATGTGTGAAAGGATAAAACAAACAAATTCCAGAAGGGTGGGTTGCCAAGAAGCAGAGAATTTCAAAGAAAAAGCAAACACTAGGCTTTTGAAACAGTGGCAGCACTGTAAACAAGCCCTTGAAGGGAAAATGAGAATTGGAGGCAGGGGCTGAAGGATATATGATGGGCCCAAAATAGGCTATTAAAAAACAAATCAACACCAAATGCTGGAGAGGATGTGGAGCAACAGGAACTCTCTCACTCATTGCTGGTTGGGAATGCAAAATGGAACAACCACTCTGAAAGACAGTTTGGCAGTTTCTTAGAAAACCAAACATAATTGCTGCCATAAAATCCAGCAATTGCACTCCTTGTTATTTACTCAAAAAGGAGTTGAAAAACGTTTGGCTATACAAAAGCCTGCATGCATGTGGATGTTCATAGAAGTTTTATTTATAACTGCCCAAACGTAGAAGCAACCAAGTTGTCCTTCATAGGTGAATACATAAACTGTTGTACACCCCACAATGAAATAGTATTCAACACTAAAAAGCATGAGCTATCAAGCAATGAAAAGAAATGAAGGAAACTTAATGCATATTACTAAGTAAAGGAAGCCAATTTAAAAAGAGTATATACTGTATGATTCCAACTATGTAACACTCTGAAAAAGGCAAAACTATGAAGATAGTAAAAAAAGATCAGTGGTTGCCAAGGAGTTGGGGGTGGGGATGGTAATGAAAAGGCAGAACACAGTGGATTTTCAGGGCAGAGAAAACACTCTGTATGATAATATAATGGTAGATACATGTCATTACGTTATTGGTCCAAACACAAAGAATAGATAATACCAAGTATGAACCCTAATTAAACAATGGACTCTGGGTCATTATGGTGTGCCAGTGCAAGTTACATCAATTATAACAAATGTACCACTATGGGGACTGGGATTGTAGCTCAATGGTAGAGTCCTTGCCTAGCACATGCAAGGCACTGGGTTCAATCCTCAGCAACACATTAAACAAATAATAAAATAAAGGTGTTATGTCCAACTACAACTAAAAAAATATTTAAAAAAAAAAACGTACCACTATGGTGGGGGAAGCTATCCCTGTGCGGGGCAGGGATATATGGGAAATCCCTGGACATTCCTCTATGTAATCATAAAACTGCTCTAAAAAAATAAAATCTTTAAAAATGAATCAACAAATATACAAATATTTTCATACAAGGGCAAACTCATGTGTTTATGAGCTTCTTCATAGGGCACTGGTTAAAGTGGTATATTCATAATATGGTACATTCATAAAATGAAATATAGTGTAGTTGGTTAAAAAAACATGGCAGTATGGGCTGGGGATGTGGCTCAAGCGGTAGCGCACTCGCCTGACATGCGTGCGGCCCAGGTTCGATCCTCAGCACCACATACAAACAAAGATGTTGGATCCGCCGAGAACTAAAAAATAAATATTAAAAAATTCTCTCTCTCCCACTCTCTCTTTAAAAAAAAATGGTAGCTTTAGATGTATGATATATATATTGCTAAGCGAAAAAAGCAAGGTGCAGGAAAGGTGTGTGTTATACCGTCACTTGTGTGCTTACAAAATTTGACAATACTTATACAAATATGCTTGTATATGCTTATATATTCATAAATTACCAATGGGAAGATTTAGGAAAAAGTTATAAACAGTATATACATCTGTTGACTGAGGATACTGCTACATAAAACAAAGGGACTATGCTCTACAGAAGGCAAGAGACTACAGAAAATCCTGAATATTAGGATAAGAGATCTAAAAAGCCTGCATGCATACTCAAGAGCAGGATTCTCAACAATGGAACTACTGACATTTGGGACCAGATAATTCTTAATTGTGTGGGCTGCCCTGTAACACTTCTAGTAGCACTGCTAGCCACTAGATACTGAACACATCCTCCTACTTGCTGTCCCTGGTAAAACGTCTCAACGTTGCCAAATGACCCCTGTGAAGTAAAACTTCTCCAGGTTGAAAAGTACTGCTCAAGAGCTACAATGATAGTAATTTACAAAACACTGCAGCTCTATATCCTTGCAAATTAACAACTCCAACATACATTCATATATAGATCTGAGGGGCATATTTGGCAGTTTTGAAATGACCTTCATACATCTTTCTCAAGCTGAGATAATTCAAGCCCCTTCCCAGATCTGAATTTTCATTTCTAACTATATCTACTCCATCACAAATGTTTCTTTTTTGCTCCTATTGAATCCTAAATAATGAAGCTAGATAGATGTTCAGTAGTATATGAGAACATGCCAATTCCCCTAATGAGCTTCCAATAATGCACTGGCCTATTACCTCCACAGGTTATTTCACAAGTCAATATACCAGCCTTACCCTCCATTTCACTGACCACCAAATAGCATGTTTCTAGATCCAAGATCTTCTGAGATGTCAAGGAAGGCAATCTTCCAAAAGAAATCTAACAATCATATTTTGGCTCAACTTTTGAAAAACTAATATAACTATTGACACAATAGAATATAATTACTCACATTATACTAAGGTTTCTTCCTATAATTCCTAATAAACATACAAAGTGTAACACAATGTCCTAAAATCTTAAAAGGAAACACCCCTGATTTCAAGGAGACTATAAAGAAAATGATTAGTTCTAAAGCCAAGAGAGGGTTGTACTAGAGTCTACAATCACAATTTTTTTTAAATATTTATTTTTCACTTTTTGGTGGACACAATATCTTTATTTTATTTGTATGTGGTGCTGAGGATCGAACCCAGCGCCTGGCACATGCTAGGCAAGAGCGTTACCTCTTGAGCCACATCCCCAGCCCTACAATCACAATTTTTATTAAGTGTAAAGCCATTTCAAATATACCACAATGAATGGGGATGAGAAAAAAAGAAAGACATCCAACAGGCTTGAATATTTTTCAAACACAGATCTAAAACTTGGGTTGACTTTCCTGTGTCTTTTCTTTTTGAAAGGCCAGAAATCCAATACCCTGGCAATCTTGGCTTCATATTTTGAAGTCACTGATTCCTTCAATGCTGTTGTAGTTGAAAAGTTCTGGATTTCATCCTCATGAAATCATGCTCTTCAGATTCTAGTATTGTGCCGACTACTTTTGGTTAGCTCTCAGAACGTTGGTTCTCATTTGTGGAGGTAACCTCCAGTGACCTCACTCTGTAATAAATACATTTGTGAGTCGCTATGGAAGATGCTTAAAAGTGTCAGCGGCGAAAAAAAGAAACTCACCATTCTAACTACTTCAGGGTAAGTCTGCTCTGTCAAACAGCCTCTGCTTATTGTAATGTAGTCCACCAGTTCATTAAGAGTGGAGCGCTTGTATTCTTTCATTTTAAGATCAGATAGCGTGTCCATGAAGTCAAAAATGACACAGCACTGCTGAAGTTTCTTTAGGAACAGTTCAGGCTGCTCTGAGGTTGGAACGTCTAAGAAAAAAAAAGGAAATGGTGTAAGTCTGTCATCAATTTCTAAGTAACAGGAATTCTCTGCGAAATTCACTTCAAAAGCAAGCTCAAAAGAATAAGAATTCACATGACAATAGTGTTCTTTTTAACAGTTACACATGGGGGGAGGGGATAACATATACACTATTTCAGAGATCTTGACTCTGAAAACTATAATGCACCAACACAATTGACTCTGGTTGCTATTCTGAAAACCAAAGATTGGCTAAAATCCCAAGAGCCATTAGAAGTTTGAAGCAAATTTTAACAACAACAAAAAAATAACCCTGATGTCAATATCCGTAAATCCAAAAACACTGAAAAATGACAAATTCTTCCTCATAAGGTAAAGCCAGAAGTTTTCACTGTTGGTTTAAATTAGTTTTACTAAAAAAGTTCAAAGCAGAAATGTCAGTCTATCCATTTTAATTTCATGCTGACACCCTTGATATTTAAAGCAATTACTGTGTATGTTCTTATTTTGTTTTGTTTTTGCTTGATTTTTATGAAGTTTCTTTGTCAAAGACACTTGAAAACCAAAAAAAAAGAAAAAGAAAAAAAAATAACAACTCTCTAAAAAAGAGCACACTAAACGGTATGGTGGCACATACCTGTAATCCCAGTGGCTGAGGCAAAAGGATCACAAGTTCAAAACCAATCTCAGCAACTTAGCAAGGCCCTAAGCAACTTAGTGATATAAATTTTAAAAAATTTAAATCTTAAAAATAAAAAGGGATGGAGATGTGGCACAGTGGTAAAGTGCCCCTGGGTTCAATTCTAGGTACAAAAAGAAATAAGTAAAAATAAAAACAAAAAAGAGCACACCAGTAGTAGGAAAATAAGAGCAAATTCCCTTCATCTACACTCTCTTTTGATCCACCTTTTTCCCTTACATTGGGGAAAAACTACTAATGTCTTTATTAATATGTTCTCAGAATAGACATCTGCTCTTTTTTAAAACAAACATCAGGTCAGACATTTGGCTTGGTTTAAAAAAAAGTGTAAGAAATTTTAGGTTAATTAAAATTCTCCAGCTAGAAAGGAATCTGACCTACAATTGGATCTGAAATACACAATTGAGCTACAGACAACCAACCAAATCCACTCCTATCTTTTCTACTATTTTATTTCCCCCAACTGGAGCATCACTGGAGAGGCAATGAAATTATGACCCACATAGGCTCTGCTGCCTTTATCCAAGGCAATTAACTCATTAATCCTCAGAATACCTTTGAGGTAAGCAGGTAGCATGGATATTCTTCATTTTTCAATAAGAAAAGCAGGCACAGTCATTGAGATGAACACAATAAATGAACTACGGAGCTGGGCACAATGCCCAGGTCTCTAGCCATACACCCAGGTTCCCTTTGTACTACTTCAGAAGGATTTTAACAGCGTTTGGCCAGTCACTAACAACCATCCTCAGTTGTCAATCTTCCAGTAAATGCTATACAGTGGCTTCACAGCTTAGGCCATCTGCTCTCTGAAGGAGAATGCTATATCATCTAGAACCCACCTTACAACCAAGAGCCCCAATAGAGTGGAATGGAAAGCAGCCTAGGCCTGTTTTACACATGATCCACATGACTAGCTCCATTAACTCCCATCCCCTACCCATATCCCACAACCCAAGTGACAGAGAACTAACCAAGCCACCCTGGACCTCAAAGACAATTCCCCCCAAACACTGACTGCTAAGGTTAAACCTAGCTGAAAGGAAAACAGATCTTTTCCAAAGGATATTAGGGAACAAGGAATAATAAATGCATTTGAAGGTATCACCACTACTCTCAGCATAAACAAGTTGTAAATTTAGTAATTGTTAAACAGTGAGTTTCACTCTACCCGCAACCCCCCAAAGGTTCCCAGTGGCTTAATATACTTATAATCAAATACTTTGGATTTAAGGCATAATATATACTTATTCTGTGTTTCTAAAATAAATCATTTTTAAAATCTAGCTTGGGACCATAAGAACCAAACATAGTCAGATCAAGCTTTCTCTTTAAGTGCTACCTGATCAGGTGTTTAAAATAAATAAATAAATAAGCAAAAACTAAATATAGCCGCTTATGAATATGAGTGTATATAGTCTTAACCAGTATCTAATTACATGCACAGGACTACCATGGTCCAGACTCCAGATCCTGAAACTGAATGGAGTTTTGACGCTGTAAAGGGAATAAGAAAAAGCTTATTAAATGGGGTATTAGTTAAAGGTTAAAATCTTCAGGGAAAATTGCAATTTTTGATATCATAACTTTCATAAAACCTAAAAATCAGATTGCTCACATGGAGAACTCCTTAAACACAGCACATAAGAATTACAAAATATCTATAAATGATAGCCTTTCTGAGAGTAAATCAACATTTAAGCAGTAACAACAATTAATGTTTGTGGTTACTGCAATAACAATCAAGAAATTCATTTATTTAGCAAGTCAAAAAATTCAAGCAGTTAACATTTAGATCCTTTTTAATGTCAGGCAATTGGAGTTTATCCTTTATTTATGCAAACTGGCATGTCATAAACAAATGAGAACCAGGCTAACCACTTGCCAGATGGAATAATGATAATAAGTGTACATTTACTGAACAGAGTTAGTATACTTACTATGTACTATTCTAAATACTTACACATATTACATTTTGATTAATATCTACAACAACCCTACACAGTAGGTACTATTTGAAGTTTAACAGATCAATAAACCAAGATAGAGATTGCTTCAGTAATCTGCCCATAGTCGTACAGCTAATAAGCATTGGAGACAGGAGTCAAACACAGGCAATCTGGTTCCAGGCCTGGACTCATCATCACCATGTACCATTCAAACACAATCAAAGGCCAGAGTGATATCATATTCCAGAAAATGAGGGGGATGGGGCGTGTGGGCAATCTCCCCTCCAGACTATTCTCCAGAGGTTAACATGCAGAGCCAAAGTTATGCTTTATCATCCTTTATCACAGACTAAATTCTTCTAAAATGAACTCCATTAAATTGAAGAACTTGAGCAGTCAAGAACAACCGCTGGGGTGGTGTGGGGCCAGAGGTGGGGTGGTCCCTTAAACAGGCAATTCCTTTAATAGTAACAATTTAAAAAGGAAAAGAAGGAAACTATTTCATTCAGGGGAAGGATGAACTAACTATCAAAACACTCCAAAAGCCAAGTGGGTGGAGTTTACCCATAGTTCCAGCTAGTAGGAAGGACAAAGTGAGTAAGTAGGTGAAGCAGGTGGATGGCTTAAGTATAGGAGTTCAAGCTAGCCTGGACAACATAGCAAGACTATCTCTTTAAGAACAAAACAAAAAACACAATTGCTCCAAGCAAGTACCAGTAATAGTTGGCCCTTGGATTGTCATCCCTCCTCCCCCTAGCTCTGCTGCTCCCAATCCCCCTCCTCTCATCTACCTAGCCCCTGTGGGCTCTGAAGGTAGAATTAAAAGGTAGAATAGGCCAGGGGTCAGAGAATGTAGACTCTAAGTAGTCCCAAGAGTTTCAATAAAATTAAAGAAGTTTAGTATTATGGAACCGGTCCCAGAAGTAGATATAAACATTCTTTCTAAAGAAACATTTATTAAAAGGATCAGTTACTGAGCCATAAAGAAAAATCTCATAAATGACAGAAAGCAGATTCCAATCACAATTCATTAAATAAATAACACTAGCTACCCACTCCCAAATCCAAGTCACCTGAAAATCTATAAACACTTCTGAAGTAACTTAATAGTAATGGAAGGAGACCCTCATTGTTATAATACAAAATTACATATAAGAGGAAGTGAGGGGAAAGGGGAAAAAACAAGGGGGAGAAATGAATTACCGTAGATGGGGTAGAGAGAGAAGATGGGAGGGGAGGGGGATAGTAGAGGATAGGAAAGGCAACAGAATACATCAGACACTAGTATGGCAATATGTAAAAAGTGGATGTGTAGCCGATGTGATTCTGCAATCTGTATACAGGGTAAAAATGGGAGTTCATAACCCACTTGAATCAAATGTATGAAATATGATGTCAAGAATTATGTAATGTTTTGAACAACCAATAATAAAAAATAAAAAATAAATAAGAATGAAAAAAAGAACTATGCAATGTTTTGAACAACCAATAATAAAAATTTTTAAAATAAGAGGGAAAAAAAAAAACTTATACATGAAAAAAAAAAAAGAAAATTAAAGGTCATCATAGACTCCCCAAGCAAACCAGGCAGTGGATACTTCTTTCTTTCAATGGAACTGGCCTACAAAAGCCAGCCTATCCCTGGGGAGAATAATTCCTCAGAATCATATCATAAACAACGAAGAATCAATAAGTGGTTATGTAATACCACAAAGGTCACTAGCACAATGACTATCCATCCAATGTTAGTATGTGTTTAAAGGGGAGAATAATTGATCCAGTCATCACAGATGGTAAGAACATATCAGGTCAGACTTCACTAATCTGGAAGAACAAGTAGACAGATTTCCAGAATATGCTTCCCATCCAAGAAAAGAGTGTAGGGACAAACTAAGTTGTATTTCTCACTGTATTGTGTTTTGTTGTGGTGGTGGTTTTGTTGTTTTGGTTTGGTTTGGTATTTTGGTGGTGGTGGTATGGGGATTGAACTCAGAGGCACTCAGCCACTGAGACACATCCCCAGCCCTCTTTTGTATTTTATTTAGAGACAAGGTCTCATTGAGTTGCTAGGACCTCACTCAGTTGCTGAGGCTGGCTTTGAACTCACGATCCTCCTGTCTCAGCCTCCTGAGCTACTGAGATTACAGGCATGTACCATCATGCCAAGCCATTGTCTTACTCTCCTTTTTAGCATTAATCATGTTTTCCATATACATTTTAGATCATCACCTCCCAGCATCCTAACAATTGTCAACAATAAGACAGAGAAAATGACTACTGCTGAGGGCCATTACCAAGTAGGAATGACACATCGAAATTTCCTTGCCAAGCGTACCCCATGCTGATTAGAGGACATTCA